TCCCTCTTTTTTGTTTTAATGTTATCATCTTTTTCATATTATAACATCTATTTCCCTATTTTCAGTGTCTTAGCTTTGATTTACTTTTGTGATTTTCCTGTCTGGGTAGATATCTGGTTGCTCTGTCCTGTGTTCTAGTCTTGGGTTGTTATCGGTTGTTACTGATTTTCTAACCAGAGGACTCCCTTTAATATTTCTTGTAATTTTGGTTTGGTTTTTGCAAGTTCCCTAAATTTCTATTTATCTGGAAATGCCCTAATTTCACCATCATATTTGAGAGACAGTTTTTGCTGGATATATAATTCTTGGCTGACGGTTTTTTTACTTCAGAGCTTTATATATGTCATCCCATTGCTGTCTTGCCTGCATGCTTTCTGCTATTAGTCCGAGCTTATTCTTGTTGACTCTCCTTTCTAGATGACTTTTGTTTATCCCTGGCTTCTCTTAAAAATCTTTATCTTTGGTTTTGGCAAGTTTGATTATAATATGTCTTCGTGACTTTGTTTTGGGATCTACCTTATGTGGGGTTCGATCAGCATCTTGGATAGATATCTTGTCACCTTTCACAATATCAGGGAAGTTTTCTTCCAACAAATCTTCAACAATTTTCTTTTATTCCCCCCTGTTCTGGTAGACCAATCGCTCATAGGTTATTCCTCTTGATAGAGTCCCACATAATTCTTAGGGTTTCTTCATTCTTTTTAATCCTTTTATCTGATTCTTCCTCCAGTAAGTTGGTGTCAAGTCTTTATCTTTAATCTCACTAATTCTGACTTCCATTGCCACAGTTCTGCTCCTGTGACTTTTATTGAGTTGTCTGATTCTGAAATTTTATCATTAATCTTCTGGATTTCTGATTGCTGTCTCTCTGTGGATTCTTGCAGCGTGTTAAATTTGTCATTATGCTCTTCTGTAATCTTTTTGATTTCTTCTATTGCGTGTTCTGTGTTTTGATTAATTTCCTTCTTAATTTCTTGAAGAGTTCTGTATATTAATCTTTTGTAGTCTGCCTCTGGTAATTCCAAGAACTTTTTCTCCTCTGGAAAATTTCTAGATTTTTTATTTTGGGAGCTTGCTGAAGCCGTCATGGATTGCCTCTTTATGTGATTTGATATTGACTGTTGTCTCTGAGCCATCAGTAAGTTATTATATTTATTTATTTTATGTTTTCTTACTGTGTCTTAGCTTCGTGTTTTGTTTTCATATGCCCAAATAGGCTGCTCGTATGAGCTAGTTTGATTATTGGCACCTTCGAAGCTCTAATGCCCTGTCACCAGGTGCTGAGATCTGTTACTCGGTATGTGAGCTCAGGAGTCCACCCACTCCTCCTGTATGGATTCAGCTCAGGTGCCCAGGTCGATAGTAATCAAGTGTGTGGTATAGGCTCTCACTTACAGTCCTAGACAGGCTTGGGTGATTGGTGTAGGCACAGCCATCTGGCTGCAGCAGGAAGACACACTCTGAGCAAGGCAGGGTCACCCCCATGTTTTCAAGAGGAAGGCATGTCCCTGTTCCTTAGAGTGCGTAGGTGGGTGGGTTTTACCGCTGAACTATGAGCACCTAAAGCTGTTGGCTTTAAGGACTGGGGGCACCTGTTATTCATGGGCCCCTATCACAGGTGGCATGGGTGGAGTCTCCAGTCCTCAGGCCCCTGATGTGGGTAGGTGAAGGCCTGCTTAATGGGCAGAGCAGTGCCAAATGTCAAGAACATGCCACTTCACAGCTGAAACAGTTGAAGTTAGACTTCTAGTAGATACCCTCTTGTCCTGTGGTAATGAGGTAATGAGGGCCTATGCTGTTGAGATGGGCCCATACAAGTTTATGCAGGGGTAAAAGCACTCAAAGTCTGTGGATCCCTTATACCTGTGCCTAGGCAAAGGAGCTGCGCCTACCCTGAATTCCTGGCTTAGGGGAGCCAGCAGTTTATTTTTTTCCCCTATTTGCTAATTTGTTCACTCACCAAGGCAGGGAGAATGGCTCTGGGCGTGTGATGGATCCTACTTCCAGCCCAGGGGACTTGGCAATTGCTGAAGCTGGTCCCGGACCTAGTGCAGAGCAGGGAGCAGGGAGGTAAATGGGAGGGAGGTTTTTCCCTAAGAGGGATGTTTTTGATTTGTGCCATAGGCCATCCGCAGTTACTTATCTTTTGCTGGATTGAGGGCTGCTTCTCACTGGTTCTGGGTGGCCGTGTAGACTCCCTGGCGTTGGGTCTCTCCCAGTGTGGAAAATGAGCCTCCGAGCACTGCCGCTTGCCTGCATCACTGCTTACCCCCAAGCTAATCAGTCCTTAGGGGCTCAGGCTCTCGCTGGTTCAGGTCTGGCAACTCCTTGCTGCTTCTGAACTGTCTCTCCCTCCCCCTGTCACTCTGTCCTGTTCCTCAACTGTTCGATGTTCAGGGCTCCCAGATTGCCATATATAATCGAATCAGTTGTTTTTTTGGGTCTTTGTTGTAAGAGGGTCCACCAGAAGTGTCTGACTAATCTGCCATCTTGGCCCTGCCCCTGGCTTTATGTTTTTAAACTAGCCATTTAAAAGAGAACTGCATGCCAAGTACTTTCTAGGAAATAGCATCTAAAACACATTGCCGAGACCTTCACCAAAGAGGACATCCAAGCAGCCAAGAAGCACATGAAAAGATACGATGATTAGCCATTAGAGAGATGTAACTCTCTAATGAGATACCATCTCACCTCAGCTAAAACGGCATTGATTAAAAACAAACAAACAAAATACAATTAAGAAATGTTGGCCGGGATTTGAGGAGTTTGGAATCCTTATCCATTGCTGGTGGACTGTAAAATGGTATAACTACTATGGAAAATGGTATAGTGCTTCCTCAAAAACTAGAAGTAAAACTGCTCTGTGATCCAGCAATCCCACTCCTTGGTGTATACCCTAGAGACCCAAAAGTAGTCACACAAAGAGACATATGTACACCCATGTTCACTGCAGCTTTATTCAGAATAGGAAAAAAGTGGAAATAATGGAAGTGCCTATCAGCAGATGAATGGATAGGCAAAATGTACATACATATAATGGAATACTCTGCAACCATAAAAAACAATGATGGGTCCACAAAACATATTATAATATGAATGGACCTGGAGGGCATAATGCTAAGTGAAGTTGGACCTGGAGGGCATAATGCTAAGTGAAGTAAGTCAAGCACTTAGGACAAATTTTGTATGATCCCTCTTTTATAAGAAGACAAGAATAGACCAATATAAAGAGACCAGTGTTCATTGGTGGTTACCAGGGAGAGGAGGGGTGGGAGGGGGAAGCACGCTTTAGATTGTAGATACTTGTTATTCTTGATGATGAAAAAAGTGGCACCAAATGTGGGTGTAGTGAGCACAGCATGAGCAGAGTAAATGATGTTGCTGAGAAGTGCTCATGAGAAGAGGATGGGTATAGGCATATACGTATACGGGTAGGTACAGGTATATACATATGTGAAAACATAAAAGTATATGTATGTGTGAATACAGATATGTGTGGGCAGGCACATATATTCATTGAAGACACAACTACAGCTGCTCCTTAGACATAACCAAACAATTTCCGAGATTGGTTTTCTAGGTTTGAAATCTTAGGACCATAGTCTCATGGGACAACTTAGTCAATTGGCATAGTACAGTTTACAAAGTTCATATTTTACATCCTAGTGAAGTGAGTAGTGTCTGGGATCTGAAAAGCTTGTGAGCAGCCATCTAAAATACAATTATTAGTCTCTACCCATCGGGAGCAAAAGAGTAATAAGGTAACTGAAATCTAGTCTGCAAGGCTGATACACCTACTTGAGCCATGACCTTAACCACTCTGAGACCGGAAGAACTAGAAGGTGCCCAGCTACTGCCAGTGACTGATCTGACTGAGGTCACAATAGATGATCCTGATAGAATGGGAGTAAAGTATAGAACAGAACTCAAATTCTTAAAAAAGTCCAGACTGACTGGACCACCTGAGGCCAGAGGACTCCCTGAGACTTGCCCTGAGATATCCTTTAAATCTTGAACCAAAACTATCCCCTGAGATCACCTTTTAGCAGAAAAGCAGAGTGACACACAAAATAAAGAGGATATTGCCCTTTAGATCAGTGCTCCACTAGGGTTGCTATGAGTGGGAATCGACTCGACAGCAGGGAATTTAGTGTTGAGTTTTTTTTGTTTGAGTCTGAAAGGTCAGCAGTTACTCTGAAGCAACGACGAGAAGATAAGAGGGCAGGGAAACTAGAGCACTGCAAATGGAACAACCAGAACGCAAAGAGAATGTTGCCACATTGTGAAAAACGCAACTGATGTCATTGATCAGTTTGTGTGGAAGTTGTCAGATGGGAACCTCCCAACTTGCTGTGTAAAATTTCACCCAAAATACAATAAAATATTATTAAAAATAAAAATAAAACATACTGCCCAATACTTTGTTGATATATGATGGATTGCCTATCAGTTACAGTCCTTCTATTGTCTCACGCTAAAGTCAGCACAGAGCTCTCAGTACTCCTGAACTTCATCCTATTGCTACTTCTGCAGAATTGTTTTTCCTAAATTATGAGTTAGTGTGAGGCAGCTGGTCTCTTTTCAGAGATACAAGAAACAGTCCTGAGAAACTTGCCTGTTTACCATATGAAGATTCACAGGAGAAACTGCAGTGGTTTATATTCTACTGTTCTTTTGCTTAGTTAAAGGAAGAAAATTTGATGAGGAAACTGGAAATGCAAGTGTGGTTTCTTCATGTTGTTTTTGGTGGCTATTAGGTGCTTAATATAAAATAAATTACTACCTCTGTGGAAAAAAAATAGTCAACTTGAGCCCTGTTTTAACATATTTTTAGAGTGGACCCTTTTTTTTTTGGTGCTGCCTTTCATTTATAAACAGGTAAATAAAAATAAGTATGACAAAGATATGAGACCTTAAAAGTTATTTAGGAACACAGAGACTAAATGAGTGTTTTGTCCTCTTAACTAATTTTAAATACTTGACTTTTCCTTTTCTTTCAGTTCCTGGAATAGATGGAGGTGCTTTAACTGATACTAGTCTCACAGATTCCTATTTCAGCACCAGCTTTATTGGAGTCAATGGATTTGGAAGCCCTGTAGAAACAAAATATCCTTTGATGCAGGTATTTTTAGTACAAATTTATATTGCACTAAACAGTGAATTTTATTCCAGGGGCAGAGGACGTCAAGGGTCTTGTTGAGCAGGAAGTGGGATTTTAGGAGATGTTGAGGTGGATGGGATATAGGTAAGCTATCTCCTGTAGGATTGGAGTCAATGAGAGCTTTCAGGGTTGGAGATTGGGGTGGGATGGCAGTGGAGAGGGTAGAGGGTAGATATAAGTTCCACTCTGTATTTGTATGTATATTACTTAAACTTAGTAGTGATGATAGTAGTTTTTAATTTACTCTTTGAGTAAATAATGCATACATATGTTATAAAAGTTACAAAAGGTCATATGGTGAAGAGTGAATCTGTTGCCCATCTCTCACCCTGTTAACCTTGTTCTTAGTTAACCTTCCTAGAGGCAGCTACCATTACTGATTACTAGTGTTGTGTGTGTCCTTTCAGCAGTATTCTTTGCATATAAAAGCATATTGCTGGTTTTGTTTTATTTGGCTTAAAATTTTAATTTTCACTACTTGATGGCACTACCTTACTCTCTAGTTCTTTCTTGAGTTCTAGTCCAGAAGATTTTTATTTTCATTGCCCCTAAATTTAAAGCCACAATATTTGAGGAGCCTTTTATATTGGTGTGTATCTCTGAATTGTTCATTTCACCTGCTTTATTCTTTTTACCAGCTCTCTTCTTTGCTTTATCGTATGACTGCATGTACTGTTGAGAACATTTTTATTTGCATTGTTTTTTTTAGATTGGAAAGGCAGAATTTTGTAGAATTGTAATAAAATTGGATAATATTCCACTGTTGTTAATTGGAAAACTGCCATCGTAATACAGATGGTGTATTGTTCTTTCTTGTTTCTGTGATGCAGTACTTTGGATGGCTTTCTCTATAATTAAAATAAAACCAAAAACCAAACCCAGTGCCGTCCAGTTGATTTCAACTCATAGCGACCCCATAGGACAGAGTAGAAGTGCCCCATAGGGTTTACAAGGCTGCAGTCTTTACAGAAGCAGATTGCCACATCTTTCTCCTGCATAATTACAATAAAAACTCAAAAAACCCCAAACCCGTTGCTGTCGAGTCGATTCCAACTCATAGCGACCCTAGAGGACAGAGTAGAACTGCCCTATAGGGTTTCCAAGGAGGAGCTGGTGGATTCAAACTGCTAATCTTACGGTTTGCAGCCGAGTTGTTAACCACTGTGCCACCAGGGCTTCTACAATAATTACAATAGGCTATTTAAATACAAGTAGGGTTTTAAATTTCAAGTTGGACTGATTTTAAGGATTTATAGGAAGCCAGTGCTTTTCTGTATGATGTTAACTTTTATTTACATAAAAACTGAGGTTTCATGTAGATAGGCACACTACAAGTCATTTGAATTATAAGCATATAAGTAAACATGCACAGCCAAAAAAATGCATTATTATTATTTTTTTGTGAACAGTTTAACTACTTTATGTATAATTATACATTTTTTTTTGACTACCCACTATGCGAGCCACAATTTCAGGTACTTTTCATATGTATGCTTATATTTTATTCATCTGTAGTCACCACCCCCATTTAAAAAATTATATATAAATTGAACCTAAGAAATTGAGTGACCAGTATCAGTGTTACAGAATTAAAGCCAGAGCTGGAATTTGAATCCAGAATTGGTAACATACTTTTTAAGGCATTGAGTTAGATATCATATGCAAGACAAAGACTTGTGGTCATGGGATGAGGGACCTACCAGGATTGAGAAACCATAGAGACTATGGAGTAAGTCAGGAAAGCATGGGGCATATTTAGAAAACACAGAATAGCCCGATTTTATAGGATCTATAAGGTGTGTGAAGGATGATATGCATTGGGAGAGGATATTAGAGCATTTATTGACTATAAATAGTCAATTTATACAATTTATATATATCACTAACTCTTGAATGGATATCAGAATTTATATCCTAGGAATATAAGGAGCCTTTTAAGAAATTGTATTATTCTAGGAATATAAGAAATCTAAGGAAACTTAGAGGTTATGTGTCTTACCCAGGCTAATAAGTTATGGAAATGGAGTTCAAAATAGGTCTTCAACTTTGGCTTTCAGTAACGGGCTAGTGAGTAAAATTTTCATTTGATATGTTGTAGGGAGTCTTTGGAATGTTCTGCATAGGTTGTTGTGATCCAAGCAGCGTTTATAGAAAGATTAGTTTATCAGTAATATGAAAGATGGATTGGAGGGGAAGAAGCAAAGAGAGCCAGCTTTAACTTAATTGATTGAATACTCTTAATTCTGGACTCCTCAGTAATATGATGTATATATATTTTACTTTTCAGAGAATGACTAATAGTAGCAGCTCCCCAAGCCTTCTAAATGACAGTGCCAAGCCATATGCAGGCCATGGTAAGACTGATGCCTTTTGTTCTTGTCTGACTCGAAAATCAGTACATACCCATTGTAGAAATTTTGGAAAATATAGACAAGTATAAAGAAGAAAATAAAAAATTATCTGTTTTCCCACTCTGAGATAACTACTAAATTTAGGTTTTCCCCTTTTTTATATCTTAGTCTCTATGTATGTATGTATATTTGTATATATGTATACACACATATGTATCATAGTAAAGATACTTTTTATTATATCATGAGTGCTTCTCCATTGTTATAAATTGAATTCCGTGTTTTTGTTTCATAGTTTACTTAACTGTCTTTGTTCCCGTTTTGTTTTTTTTCAAGCTGTTATATTCTGATGGGCTATAGGTGTGAATTTGTGTTCATATTTTGGGTTATTTCTTTTGAATACATTGTTTAAAGTAGAATTATTGTTTCAAAGATTGTGGCTATTTTTAAGTCTTTCGATACAGAAGTTCCAGATATCTTTCTGTATCTCATTTTAAAACTAAATACCCAAGGATAGTTTTTAGTAAATATGTAACAATTGAGCACTAATGCTCTACACCAGTAAAATGTGATTACAGTTACTAATAGTGGTGAGAATAAGAATTTGCACTTTAAGTAGATATTTTATGTGTGTGTGTATCAAATCTCTATCACTATCTGGAAATTTCAACCTCTTTTTTTTGCTTTTAAAAAAATAGCAACATTTTAATATTGAATAAAATGATTAAAACTAATTTGTAACATTATGTTTCTAGCATTCCCATGTACTTTAAATGATGACTTTTAAATGATATCAAAGATCGCGTAAGAGTTCAGTAATATTACCTATTTTAAGTGCACTAAATATGTAAATTATAAAAATATTTCTTTTTATATCTTGCTACTTTATTAAAACGTCTTTCACATTGCATGATTAGTTGTTTAACATTAAACTAAATACTAATATCAGATTAATATTATTAATTACTATAATACATTGCATAAATTAATACATGGTAATTCTAATAAAAGGCTAAATCATGAAAATCCGGGTAGAAAAAACCAGAGAAATTAAGCAGCAATCTATATGTACTGCGTTATGAAGCGATAAAAAGTTCCTTTAGATGAGTGCATTTAATACATTTTTTAGGATTTCACAGATAATTTAATGAGACTGAGAAACATAAGATTAAAGCTCAGAAATGAAGCTAAAATATTAGTGTTATCACATGCATACCTTTTCAAAAACTGCTCATTTGTAAAGTAAGAAACAACTTCCAGATGTAATTTTGTTTGTAATATCTGAAGGTAGAGTGATGGAACTTTGAACCTGTTAAGTATTTGGGTTTCGTGTTTGTGTTTTGAAACATTTAATAGTTTCCATCTTTAAAAACTTAGTAATTTACCGTATCTGTTTGCCAAGAATATCAAATATCTGGTGATAAAGTTAATAATATGGATTAATCTGTAGAGTAATGGTTTTAAGGCAGTAAACCCAAGTCCAGATCTTATTATGATTGACTCCCCCTCTCCCCCTTTTTTTTATCCTTACGGTGATTTGACTTCAAGAACACATTTATTTACTGTAGGTACGCTTACTTCTTTCATAAACACACACTCCCAATAACATGGCTAAGAGTCTTTCTTCTTTCTCTCTGATTTTTCTTTTGGTTCTAAGCAAACATTCTGATCCGTATAGCTTCTTAATAAGTAGGTACTGAGTACTGGCTGAATGAGATATTCTTTAACTTGTGGTTTATTCACTAAGAAAACACATTTGAACATTAACAGTGTGTGAGGCAGTGAGTTTAGTTAATACTCCGGCATATGCTTTTTATTATTATTATAGGCATTGTCATTTATTAGGTTTGTGAGTTACCCGAGTTGTCTCTTTGGAAACTTACATAACTTACCTTCCAGATGCTCTAACTTCACCTGCTTCATCCTTGTTTAATGACTTTGGTGCCCTCAACATCTCTCAGAGAAGAAAGGTAGGTGAAACTAAAAGTTAATTAAATGGAATCTAGTGGTGATGTTGGGATTATTACCTACATAATGTCAGTATTCTCTTAAGTGTGGGGAGGACTTTTTATGGATGGTAGTGTTTTTCTTTTTCCTTAGTATATATCTCATATGCGGAATTTAATTTGTTTTTTTTTTTTAAGATCATGGAATTTTTGCATGGAATAGAGAGATTTTTATATGAATGATGGAATCCGACTGCTTGCTTTTGTTCATTTTCTTTATCTTAATGTATACTGTTTTGGGGATAGCATCTAATTTAATGTCATGGTTGTTGTTGCTTTTAGTGTAACCCATTGTAGGCATATGCATCATGTTTTAAGTTTATTTTCCGACTGCCTTGTCTAGATTTCAAAGATTCTCCCCTAATTTCCATTTTTAATTTTTCATAATTGACCGAACTGTTTAAAAAACACAGACATTTCTTCATATTAGAAATTTAACTTTATTTGGAATTGAGGTTGATATATAGATTTTTGAAGTATTTTATAGGGACTGATTTTGTGACAGTGAAAATGAAAACTTTATTTTTATGTCTTTGAGTCTTAATGAGAAACGTTAATAGTCACAATCATCTTAGAAAAGGTGATCTTTTGGTTGGGATCAGTAGCAGCTAACATTGTTCAGGAGGTTATAAATCTTGGTGGAAATTACTATAAAGCTAAGCATTTGGTTTCCTGAGTATTGGAAGAAAGATCCAAAATAAAAGAATATTAATTTTAGAAAAACTTAGATACAAGCTTAAGATGTGCTTAGAAAAAATCTGATCAGAAAGTAGTATAAAGTAAAATTCAGGAAGGCTAGATGTTCTCAAGACAAAAAAAAAAAATCTGTGGAACAGATACATTGACACCTCATATACCTAGTATTAGCTCCATTTTAAAACATGGAAGAGAACGGAAGATAATGAGAAAATAATTTTAAGCAACTCGAATTGTATAGGTTTGATTTTATAGACGTCCTTATAGGCTTTCACTAGGAAGAAATTTACTCTTACTTTGAACACTATTCTAATACATTTGGAATATTTAGTTTCTAAATCCATAGATTAGAAGTAGAGTTGGACACAAGCAGGCCATTGACAGTAGTGAGAAGTGATGGTAGACAAAGCCTGTCAGTATGGAAGGAAACAGTCAAACGTTGAAAAGCAGATACAACCTGGAAGTCAGATTATCTGGAGCTATTTAGTGTAGGAGATAATAAAAAGTCCTTAATTAGTCTTAGGGGCCCCCCACTGGCTTTTTCACATCTTTAAAATAGTAATCAGTTAATTGTAATAGGTAGCATTTCTGATATATGAATAAAAATTAAACTAGATGGTAAATTTATACTTAAAAGTGTTGGCTAATGTAAAGGGTCGGTGGAATGCAAGAGCTACTGCCATTTATTTTTGAGAAAATAGTAAAAATTTCTGGGGATTGGAAAAGGGAAAATATAGTGCCTATTCTTTGTAAATTTATTTTATTAAAGCAAAATAATAAAAGGAAATGTTACTTGAAATGTAACATCAGTATTTGGAGAAATGTTAAAATATATCCTAATGGAGCAGATTAATACAGCGAAATGAGCGCTCTGCTATGATTTTTGAGGTCCTGGATCTCTAGCTTTGTGACTTTGGGCTAACTTTCTAGGCTGTAATCTCCCATCTGTAAAATGATCAGCATGGCCTGGATAATCTCTATGGTAACTTTCATCTCTAAAATTTATTGTCTGTCTAAACTGAATGCATCCAAAAGTCAGTCTCTACCTAGAAATTCATGGTTCATGTAGTATAGCTTTGAAGGACCATATTTTATTGCCATTTACATTTAAAATAACGTATGCTCTAGGGATACATAGGTTTTTTTCAGTAGTGAGCTATATATTTAGAAATTGTGTGGCTGCAGGTTGCATATATTTTAAATTGTTAATGGTTGAGTTGAGAAGGCTTACAATGTCTTCATGTTAGAAATACTCTTGGCATGTTACATATTGTGAACTGAAGGCAGATGAAAACTGCCCATTGTTCTTTTGTCATGGTAATCCATAATGCCTGTTTCATGATGGAATTTTAGTGGAAGTAACTCAAAATTATGTAAATATTTAATTATAATTTCAGGTTTATCTAAGCCAGCTAGTTTAGTGACATTTTATTTCATAATATCGAAGAATAGGTGGTTAGGCCCTACTTAATACTGTTTCATAGCTAGTTAAGTAAATCATTTTTGAAATCTCTCATTTGAGCCAACGTCTGGGCCACATATGCTGGTTTTTACCTGTGGGGTATGTGAATTACTAGGACCAGATCTGTCAAGTGTCTTTATTGTAGAGAGTTTTACTTTGTGGTTTGTGGAAATTGTAAAAAGACTGATGTTTTCTCTGCTTCCCTCAAATCTAATTGGAGAGGCAGTACATGAAACTAGTAGAGAACATTTTAAGAGCAGCATGTCAGTTAGTGCCAGTTTAAATATCTGGTGATTGCTATGTAACAGAATTCTCTAGATCCAGGAGTTTGTGGAGAGAGATGTTTTGAGTTGGATGTTTTGATGAGGAACATGGAGAAGCAAAGATACCTAGGCAGAAGATATTGCTTGATTAGAGGTAGGAAATTAAGTAAATTTTTTATTTCTCTTCCTTCTGAGTATCATATATAAGCTAAGAAAGTATAGCTAAGGGCCTTGTTATCTTTAGGAATTTGGTGAAGTGTAGGATATAAAAGATAATGCAAAGAGGTTCATTACCATTCATCTATGTTGTATTATTGTTGCTAGATATGTAAAAAACTTCCTCAAGCAGTTGTATACTGAGAATATACCTCAGGGCACCTATTTTCCACATTAGGAATGCATAATTTTATAAATAGAATAAAAATGTATATAGCTATTCTTGACTAAGGGTGGTGGTGGAAGAAATTGAATTATGTCTGTGTATTGTGTGGGAGAGTTAAGTTCCCGAAACACAAAATAAGAGGTAATAAGAGGTAATAGACTAGAGTTTAATATGTGGGGAAATCTTAACAGCAAGATAGGTAAAGTTAAAAGTGAGCATTGGTGTGACAGAAAAGGACAAGTATGATTTAGACAAGCAGTAAAATGATCGGTAAGAAATCCTTTGGGAACAAAGTATCTATAACAAAGTTAGACGTTTAAATGCAGACAGTCATAAATGAAGTGATTTAGTGCTATGACATCTTGCTAGCTATTGTTGCTAAGCTGTGATTTCTGCAGGGCGATCACATAGGGTTGATGCAAATCCTAGTCAAAAGATGAGAAGCCTTCAAAATTTGCCTCTTGCATTCCTGGCTTCCCCTTTTATATCTTTTTTGGCTGATGGCTTTCTTCACCCTCTTTTTTAGCCACCTAGGTATTGAGCCTGTCATTAACATTTCTTTGGTTGGTTTTACTTTAATATGAGGTTTCAGTCAATATGCAGATTTTCACTTTTGTAATTACTTTTTAGGCTGTAATAACAAGTTAACTTCTTTGGGGTTGGACGCCAAAGATTTCTGAACTGTCATGTTTATTTCTTCTGTTCTTGATTTGAAAGCCGTTTGTTAGAATGGGGGAAGTAGGATGAAAAGGGGCTAGCTCATCTGCTAATTTGTGAGGAGATGTAGGTGGTGGAGGTCCAGTTCTGGATTATTTTTCTTGAGCTAAAAGTTTACTAGCAGTACTTTTTCTGCTCTGTTCCTTATCTGAACCCAGTTTGGGTTCCCCTTACCACTGTTCTCTAACTTAAGAGTACTCATCCCTCTATGTCTTTACTACAAAACTTACTAATGGTATATATTTTATGTTTTCTGACTAACGTTCAAAAATTTCATTGTAGCATTTCAGTTTTAAAGCTTTGAAAGTTGACTTCTGTATTATTTCTGCTCTAGGCAACAAAATATGGAATAATCAAGAAACGAGAGACTATTACTGCAGAGTTCTTTTATGGAGAAAGCAAAAGTAAATTTGGAGAAATTAATAGTATTATAGCATAGGCAATCCAGAATGTAAATACTTGTATAATTCTGCAATGATTAGGTCCTTTTTGGAACATCAGATCAAGTACTGATCTCAGGAAAAATAAAAGATACAGAGAAAATGAAGAAACTGAAAAATAACTGAAATTTTAAAGGAAATTGCCATCTAAAACTTCATTTGTAAAACAATTGTTTTTAAGTTCTTTATGTACATTCTCAAAGAAGTAATGTTTTACTTAGAGTTTAGATTCCCAGGTCAGCCACATTAGTTTTACCTATGAATATTATACAGTAATGTTTCTGTGGAAAATTATATTTAGAATTCTAAATGTTCTCAAAGCTGTTCTTCCTTTACTGGAGTTGCCTAAATCTCCATTCACTTCCATCACTTGTCAAGCTTTTAGAGTGTGTACTATCCCAACATAAGCCAGATGTGTCCTAGGGTAAAATCACCACAAAGTTATAGTAAAACAAAAAGAAAGGTTTTATTTGGCATATATTCAAGGAGGCAGAAGTAGGAAATGGACAAGCATGTTGCCAGAGCCATGTCTGTCTGAGTCCAAGGAATATTACAGAATAGGCAAAAGTGGGAAAATGAGCAAGCAGTGCTGCTACAGCCATGTCTGTCCAAGTCCGTGGAATATTATAGAACAGACAAAAGTGGAAGAAACGGACAAGCGTACTGTTAGAGCTGTGTCTTCCCGAGTCGGAGGAACAGTTACAGAATCATCAGTACATATTAACATCACAAATAGGCAAAATCATTGAAAGTGTCACTTTTTTACCGATTGGCTAAAAACAGCCAAATCACTGTGATTCTGTGTTTTAAATGGTCGTTCTTAATAATCATTGATACAGGTTTTAGTAAGACAGGAGGGTCTTCATTGGGCCAAGAAATCTTACTGTTTACTAAATGCTAATAGAAAAAGGTAAGAGTGGAGAGTACGTGGGTCTTTTGTGCTGTGTATGTGAAAGTTTCCCTAAACAATGGTTTCAAGATTGTCCTAGCTACTGTCTTTATAC